GGCAGGCTTAATAAGTACAAAATACACATTAACTATCAATTTATATTTCACTGTCATCCCAAGTTATGAAGATTTGCTATACAAGTGGATGCTTTTAGTGATATTGTGTTCTCTGAGCTAGATGGGTTAATTTATTATAGACATAAGGGCTGAAGATATCCAGAATGGCAAAGAAAGCTGTGGAATGAAACCATATGGCTCAGAGAACAAGACACCACTAGAATTCCATTGAACTACACTTACAATAAATGCTATGTTAAAAGTAAAACCCCAAATACAGTACCGACAAACCAAGTGATGAGAATGACAGTTATTTAATGTTCAACAAATCTTAATATTTGACCATGAATATTAATATGGTGGTTAGAAAACTTCGTTGGAACTTACTGTATATAGATGTACCCATAGATTAACCTCGCCTAATGAATAAATGTTCAAGAATAATAAACAGCAGAAATGGAATATCTCTGGTAAACAAGAAAATTAAATAATATCTTTACAACCAAACGAAAAATAGTTATGTTCATTTATAATCATTGTCAAACAATTTAAATTGAGTGAAATAAACTAAATATAATGGCTTACAATTTTTCAGTATACGATGGTATATTTGATGGAATAGATTCCAGTTGAGCATTTTTACATTCAACCTCAGCATGATGACATTTACATTCATTTGGACATGTAAAATTCGCATAATTAAAAGCTTTTGGAAATCTTGGTCTAATTTTACTATAAAGTGGATCATTCTTATTGATATTGTTATTATGATCGTTATCGAATAAATATTTTTGTGAACTACGACGCTTGAATGAAAATTTTTGTCGATTACTTTCTCTTCGAAATTTAGGTTTACTTTGATCAGTTACCATTTGAAGTAAATTAGTTCCTTGTGTAACTGCCTTGTCATTGGTATTCACTTGAAGAAAATGTAGTAAATTAATATTTTTTGGTAATGCAGCCCATATCCCATTTTTAGATTTATCTGAAATTAATTCATCTTTTCCATTATTATTATTATTACCAAGTGTAATATTCGGACGGTAATTAGTTAATGAAATGTAAGTAGCATTGTGTTCTACACTATCGCTCGCTAAAATCAATCCTGTAGTGTAAACATTAATTGGAAAAATCTGTCGATCAGTAAACAATGACAAAATAAACAAAATAATCAGTGACATTTCAATAGGAATATTCCATATGAAGAACTGCATTTCATTTATTTAAATTTTCAGTATTTATTTCTAAAAAAGCTAAAAGTGTCAGTCGTTGTGTCACTGTATTCTAAGTTCTGAAATACTTGAGATGATAATTAAACTAGTAGCAAGAAAATAGACTATCCTATTTCCCCAAACATAATGTTGATGTACATTACGCCGAACCGAATCCATTAATGTCCAATTGGCAAATAAAGTGATAAATAAATTAAATAATCCCTCACTAATGATTGGTTAGATATTTATTTATAGTGTCCACTGTATCAGCCAATCAGATATAAGTGAATTAATCTCATGTCAACAATTGCTTACATATTAAACGCTATCATCAGGTTCCTAATAATTAATCTGGCCAGAATTTCAGTTGTTCAGTAACATGTAGATATCATAATTTTATTGTATTAAAAACTGTCAATTATTTAAGAATAATATAGAGGGAATATTTAGTAATTTCTCAACACCCCTTGTAGATAGAACTTTTTAAAAGAATTTAAAAGTGGTTGAACGTGTCCTTGTAATCTGAATTTCCGTACGGATTCGTCAAACAATCAGTTACTTTTTTGCTGTCGTGTAGTTCGTGACCACACAATGACTCATATAAACCAAGGGTCTAAATCCCTCGGAATAATTTTATCACTGCTTGGTCCAGAAAGCCTCAAACCGGTTAAAAATAAGTAGTAATGGTTGGTGGAAAGTTTGTGACGCTTTCTGTTTGCATTCTGTATTTAACAACGTAAGCTCATAACCAATGTGAAAGTTTAGCTAAAATAATTTATTGTCATGTTGGGATTAGTTCCAACTCAATAACCAGACAAACAACACGGGTACTACATAGTATACTGTCCTATTTTTCAGTTCCCAACTTCCGTCAAAACCCTACAGCTTCACCTCTTATAATTTTAGCCTTTATGTACATGGTATATATATATATCAGGCAATTACGTCATCATTTACAACATATTACAAAGATGCTTCACATTTTTGGTATAGTTTACTTAGTAATACGGGATTTTGATTGACCGGACTTCAAACTTAATTCTTATACTTGTTAAATAATAATAATAAAAAACTAGTTTCGAATTTTAAAACCTACTTTAAAATTTTCAAATATTATTTTGATCTAACTGAAAACTGAAAAATCACCTTGTCGAACAAACAAATAGAAATGAATTGTTTATCATGAAAAAAATCCTTAGTACATACTAATGAGGAAAATTTTTGCTTATTCAGAAACCATGGCTCTGTCCTCATATACGACTTGTGACAGTTCAGTGTCAAAGGTGAAGAAGCAATCGTCTCAGAAGACAGAATCACAAGAACAAGTATCGCTTTTTTTCATAGCACTAAATAATAAGTCACACGAATTGTTATGGAAGAGATTTCCCATAGTTGATAAGTGAAATCCTAGTTGTTAAAATCAGTGAGTTAAATGTTAGCCGGTAGATAAACCCAACAGTATAATGTAGCCGAATAATGATTATTCACGAGATTTTATTACTGACTTAAGCCGCCTAATGATTATAAACCAAAAATCAATATCCACGTGAATAGATTTTCAACGTAATAGAATAGGATGCTTATATACGGTATATGAATACAGAACAAACATAATAAAATGTCATAGGTGATTAGAGTAAATCAGCAATCAGCCAATTAATTACGATTTGACTGTTAGACCTAATCTTTGAACAAGGTATCATAAATTTAGCCCATGACTATTTTTATCATTCATTGAAAAATTACCTTGTTTTATTGAAATATACTTGTTAAAATATTGTTCATAGCCTTGAAATATAAATGAAAGCATTAATGATTTGTATACTAAGATTCAAAATAAAGTCTAGCAAGCAACGTTTTCGGCTCCAGATTTAGAGTTTTTCTCAGTTGTCGGCCTTTCCATAAGTTTATCGCTTAGTCAGTCTACTCAAATTGAATAAAAATGTGAAGAAAGGCAGAGTTCTTTCTGCATATCATAAATGTGATTTCTTATTGTAAAACATTCCTAACAAAAATTTGTTCTGGCTCATATTTTATTTTAGAGGAAAGGGCTTACAATGTAACCAAAATGATAGATATTTCTATTTATTTAATAAATTTGGGTTTATAATAATTTACAATCATATCTCTTCAAAAAAGCTGACGAATCATTTGTGTGAGACAGAATTCCTCAAAGTCAAAACACAGAAAAGTTTATACATAAATGGGGGAATTTTGTGGAGCAAGACAACCATATGGAGCTATATCGATTACGTTTTATTTCACTATTAATTCCATGCAAATGTCTCTTATTACCATAAATTTTTGATTACAGAACCTTCAAGAAAGTTTTAAACACATTGCGATGAAAGTCCGATGCATGATAGCCACTGTTGCTTTTACATTTAACTGTTGCATAGACTAAGAATATTCTACTTTTACAAATATCAGCAACAGTCAACAATTGTGGAGCTAATTAATGGCAACTAAAAGATAAGAACACAAATGTTTCACATTAAACCAGAACTAGTTATTAACTTCCACAAAACATCAATAATTTAAGAAACTTACTAATCATTGATTTAAATAAACCGAAGAAAACATGGGAATACTCATTAAAATTTAAAGAACTTATGCATTATAAGCAGAGATGTGTAGTGACCTACTTCTATCACGAGAACGCGATTGATATAATGGAAACAATCATTTTTATAACCAATTGTACCAGTGATTGTTTTACTGCGCTTGTTTGTTTAACTGTGCTGAAGATAGCTATATTACTGCTCCATTATCTTTTGATTGTGACATTGCACGGGTTCGGTTACGCTCAGTAACCACGCTTGTACTCCTTTGGTACGATCTCGGTATCCTTTCGATACAACGAGATCGCCAACAAATACATCTCGACTACAGCCATCAACTGCCTTCTGATATTTGGCTTACAGTGAATTTTATCGGTTAACTGGCACCTAGACTTCTTGTAGTGGTGTTCATAGTCAATCGCCACTCCACGCCACACTACAGATGGATGGTGGTTTGCAATGGAATCTAAAATGCACATTTGGTCCTATATCGGACAGGTCAGCTGGTTATACCCGAATACCAGAGTTGATGCTCATTCCGAAACTCGTACCCATTACCCTCCATTTCAAACTTTATCTCATTATCCACTTAGCTAGGTAGTCCAAATAGCCACTAGCTTGTGCAAAATGCTTGTGACTTACTAACAATATCGAGGCAATCCACACAGGATTCACATATACCGAAATTGAATGATCATTTGTAGTCTTAAACATTAATGGAAAGCCCTAAACAACCAATATATGAACTGAAATTTCTGCATTACCTCATAAGATTATAATGACTTTCAAGTGTCCTGAATATTAAAAGTTATCAGTAACCTTAAGAATAACGAGATTATTGACAAAATTAGACAGTAACCCATTGAACAACTTTACGTTATATTGTTTATGAGTAGTTATGTAAAGTGGTTTGTCTTACTTCTTATTTTTTTATGACTAAATAAACAGTTCAAATTCGGAGTATCAAACATAAAATTAGGGCATTTCGGGTGTACTCGGTAACAAATCCCGTTACGTAAAATAAAATTTGGTACGATTTTGACATTTGAGTGGTATTGGGTATATAGCTGGCATCACAATCTCAGTGTTGAAACATCAATACTTTTTTGTTTTCACAAGCTATTTACGTCTCAAGACTGTAATGACAATATGTTGTGGTCATAGGGGATATGATACTGACAAAGTAGTCAGTGTCTTTCTACAAATACAAGACCAGTATGACAGATTATAAATAATCCATCCTGTTTGAATCTTTTTTTACTGGCAGTGAATTTCGATTTATTTCAGAATCTATTTGATAACATTCTTCCTCTTCCATAGTGGCATCCTCATCATATTCATCATCGTTACTAATATTTTTGTTAGTCATTAATAATTCAGTTTTATGATGCATTCTTGCGATCCATGCTTGTTGCCACAGATAAAACTTTTGCTTCCAAAATATCCAATCAGAATAACGAAATACACGTAGTTTAGATTGACATGGTTCATAAGTACGATTGTTTTTAACATAATTCAGTATAGCTTCTGTAGAGTTATCACCAAGTATAATTGAATAATCTAAGTATAAAGAAAAATTCCAATGAATAAAGCAAAATATAAATAATGCCTACTTATAACAATCACAGATGACATAAATGCAAGAAAATGAAACAATTTTTTCTAGTGTTTAGCTACTGTAATCGGATTTATATGGTGGATAAAGAAGAACACTGTTCATATGTGACTTAACAACATTACATACATATCTAGACCTTATCGGACCTTCTTCGACACCACGGTGCATCTGAGAAGACCATCAATATCATAAGGAATTCATACGACAGACCACACTGCAAGGTTATGTATAGAAGACAGCTGACAGATGCATTTCAAGTGAGGACCGGAGTCAGACAAGGCTGATTGCTCTCTCTCCTTCTCTTTCTTCTAGTGGTTGACTGGATAATGAAGACCTCCACATCGGAGAGAGCATGGAGTACAATGGACAGCTAGGAACCAATTACACGACTTGAACTCCGCAGATGACCTGGCCCTTCTTCTATCTCAAACACACCAACAAATGCAGATCGAAACAGCCAGTATAGCAGCAGCAGCAGCAGCAGCCTCTGCATCAGTAGACCTCAACATACCCAAGAAAAATGCGAGATCCTCAAACACAACACGGGGAACACCGACTTAATCACACTTGATGGAGAAGCTCTGGAAGGTTTGAAAACTTTCACGTACCAGGTCGGCAGCATCATCGACGAACAAGGAGTATCGGATACAAACGTAAAGACAAGGATTGACAAAGCATCAGCCGCATTCCTGCAGTTGAAGAACATATGGAACTCAAAATAACTGTCAACTAATATCAAAGTCAGAATGTTCAATACGAACGTCAAGACAGTTCTATTGTACGGAGCTGAAACTTGGAGAACTACCACAACCATCATCAAAATCGTACAAGTATTTATTAACAATTATCTACGCATGATACTTAGTTTCTGTTGACCGGATACCATCAGCAACAACCTACTGTGGGAGAGAACAAACCACTTTCCAACTGAATAGGAAATTGGGAAGACATTGGAAGTGGATAGGACATACATTACGGGAATCATCAAACTGCACCACAAGGCAAACGATAACTTGGAATCCTGAAGGGAAACGGGGAAGAGGAAGGCTGAAGAACACACTGCTTCGGGAATTCGAAGCAGATATCAAGAGGATGAATAGCAGCTAAGAAGGAGCACCCGGGATAAAGATTGGATGTAGACTGTTGTTGTTCAGCCTATGCTCCTCCACGAGTGATAACTGGACTAAGTAAATAGTTATCATACTAGTGCAGCAGATTAGTCCAAAACAATGCGCTAGAAACCTTCAGTAAGCTGTTGAATACTGTTCATCACCTTCCTCTAATCGGTTCTATCCAATAAACAACATTCTTCCCGGTAAATTTTCATCTGTTCTTCAGGTTCATTCAGAAAGCAGGATGTCCTAGCTCTCAGGTAGTATGAGTCAGGTTTGATAGATATTGTACGATGTGGCCTCAGTAGAGGATTACTTAAAGTAAGCCGTCACGTCATTCCAAATTATACCTACTGGATGCAGAGCATCAATTGAATTGCGTAAGTAATCGTCTTGTATTAGATGCTGTGGAATATCCACATTTCAATCAAGTGACCAAGTATGAATCATGATGGATATATTTGTTTGGTACTGCCGCATTGATCTTTTAGTGACTCGTTGGTCTAACTCCAATTTAAATATGCCATGAACGTTAACCTGTCATTCAACCACGCATATTAACTAGGCGAACCCTGCTTGTGTGACTACAGTAATAAGAAGCCAAATACGGGTTGCGTTTCATGAATTTATTTCAAGCACTAGTTTGTTCGGACAGACAGTCAGAAAGACGATGCAGAGAATGTGAAACGAAACGGAGAAGACGAGTAAGCCAATTCAGTTCTGTAAAGTGTAACATAATATTTACAACCAGACAAAAATAAGTTACAGACACGTGATGAATAGGGTAAGCAATACACACACATATCCTCATATAAAAACGGTCAGGGTTATTAAGCTAATAATCCACAAGTTCGAAGTGTGACTCAAGGAAAATGAATAAACCGGTTTGTCCGGAAGATAGGATAACTTATGTAAGCTCCACATAACGATAACTGAAAGTACAGTGTACTGTACTTATTCGCAAAAGGACTGAAAGTGACCACGGTTGGTTTGATCAAAATATATCGAAATTGGTTGGTAACCCTGTAACTGAAAACTTAAAATGGATCAATATTAAATTCAGTAATTCATAATCGCATTCTTAAAGTCAAGGTCAGTCGGGCATAACCAGTTTTGGTAGACGGGTTTCGTGCGCCTCGAAGTGCAACCATATATGTGAGTTATGAATGGTTTTATTCTTTAAGAAAAAATACAGATTTCTACGTCATAACCTTCTGTCAGCATTATGGTACTCAGAAGGTTAATATTATATACACATTTATAATTATGTATTATTACCTGATGAAGTACTTTAGTGTAGGGATATTCGGTCACAAAATGTTACGGCTCATCAACGAAACTCACCATAGAAAGCCGATATTGTTCGCAATTTCATATATTTTGCAGACTATATTGATTAGTGTTCATGAGCCCGAGCTCCCGATTTTCGGGAAAATTTGACCCATTTTGGGGAAAGTGCTATTGTAAATTTCGGGGAAATGGCACGAAAGCCCAACATTTCCTCCGGAATCCCCTTTAATCTTGGTCAAGGTTATTTGACTTTGGAGGTTTACCGAAATTCCTCTAAACTTACATAGAATTCCTCAAACTTGGGATATTGGGAACTAATACTGCAGTATTAGTTCACGGGTTTATGTTTCTACCTGTATCGTCAAACCAACACCACTTCGCCAATACTATTCTTATTATTTCGTTTCTTATCTCATTTCAATAGTCGGAAAAACCGTATTCACGAGACATCTATGACAAAAATGCTGGAAAAATGACACATTGGAGTTCCTTTTCAGACCTACGGAATAACTTACATCTCATGAAATCGATGTTCTAATTATGATCATCTCTTAGCTTTGCACTCAAAAATTTTTCTACTATTTTATTACTCCTGATACTGTTGCTATATTCACGGCTCTGGGATTTGTCTTGATAATTTTATCTCGCTGTGCTTATGTAATTTGACAGACTGACCAATACATTTGTGTCAAGTTCTTCGCTGCAAACGACTGTTTGAGTTGTCATGAAGGTACCTATCTTTCACTGGAATTCAGCGTTCAGAGCTAAAATAAGAGATTAAGATACCTCTGTTAATCCTAACAATTTAAAATTGCACAAGCTCTCGTCCTGCATCCGGAGTTTTAATAGAAGGTTTTAATACTTCACGCCCTGGTTAAAAAATATGTCTAGTTCAAAACTTAGAGAGGATGCCTATTAATAATTGTTCGAATAATATGGTGAGTTGAGTGTAATTCTGATAATTAAATAGTTGGATTATATTATTTAGGATAGTGGAATCCTAGATGCACCTATATTCCTGTCCTGAACACGTCATCTGAAAGAATCTGTATTTCAGTATTAAGATTCCCAGTGAACTTCAATACCACGATAACCACTACCCGTTCAAAAAGGATATTTATTAATAATTGTTCGAATAATATAGTGAGTAGAGTGTAATTCTGATAATTAAATAGTCCACTAAACAAACCTAAGGGAGCTGAACCACATATTTCGTCGTTTATTCGTCATTATATCACAAAAGTTGTTCTTTAATTATATTCAATTTTGGGATGTCTTCAATTTTCATACATTAATTAGACATACGAAAGTCAATTTTTCTTTTTTAAAAAAAACTAGCGAAACCATTTTGCGTAAGCATTTTGATTACGATAAGTCCACTGTCGAGCACCAACGTAAATCTACGGCTTGTCAACTTTGAGGATGATATGCTTCAAATATTGGTAAGTGTTCTACTAACAAACCAGTTGCAGGTGTTTTGTATGGCTACCAACACCACAAACAAAATATAGACATTTATTGACTGCAGTTTTGGCAGTTGGTAATGAAGGTCAAACATAAAGAGCATCTAGATATTCAAGCATCTCCTACAGGTAGTAACACGAAATATATATATATATATATATATATATATATATATATATATATATATATCAGTCACTAGCTTCCTGAATTGTTTGATTGAGTAAGAGAATACGACAAGGAAGTGACAAATTGAATGATACGACACACTGAGTAGATTCCTTGAACACTATGCCCGTAATACCGTATTTAAAAACTAGTTATGATACAAGATAAATAAATGTATATCAGGGAAAAAATCGTAAATATATATTAGATTATTACAAGAGAATTGACTAATTGAGGTAATGCTAACAATACAAAACTAGGCTGATCGACTTAAATCTATAGTCTGTCAAATACGGTTTTAAATGATTGAATTGAACAATCGCAACTGAAATATCTCAGTGCTATCGTTTCTTAGTATGATAAAGAAGTGTGGTGGCTCACAACTCTGAGAAGGCATCAGCATCTTTGAAGTGCCACACACGACTTACTGATGAGTATCAACAAGCAAAAACACCAAGTCTAAAGCTTTGATTACACTGGCATCATACTGTGATATCATTAGACGCAATGAGTCAATCCAGGTCAGTCAAACAATCACAACGTAGAACCTGGTACGTATGTACATCGGTTCAAGTTGCCATATCCCATTAGCACAGAGAGATGAAATTGTCAGACCAAATCTCAGAATAGTAGAGGTAGTAACAGTATCAATGGTAACACGAAAGATCAGGCATCAACGACACGACTCAAAGAGAAATTATACACTAGTGAAATGAAAACAAAATAGTTATGAGGAATTTAGAATTTCAGGATTTGGGGAAAACAAAAAACGGATGCACCTGCGCAATTACAAACGATATAAAGCCATGTCATTCAAAGTCTAATCATTAGTTATGATAATCACAAGGACTCCAACCGGATAATCTACACCTATCAACATGGCTAAGTCCAACTGTCAGTGACATCATGGACTAATGAAATATTTCGGTTTGGCCGCCCTTGGCTCTCTTTCAACCTACTCCTACACCAGAAAACATCGCCCATCG